GGTGGGAGGCAGGGGGCACACATATCTGAGGACCCTCCCTTTGGGATTGCCCCTGGCTAAAGGAATGTGTCTGTGACTCATTCCTGCTCCTGGGGGAGCCTTTCCTGAATCCAGAGCAATCCTCACGTGTTGTGACTTGGGATATTCTAGACACCTGGGTTTCCGCCTGCTGGCATCCATTCCCACTGCTCAGGAACCAGCAATCCCCCATCTCCCCTGCCTTTGGGAACCTGCCCTGCCCAGGCTCCATGAGTTTCTGCCAATAACACCCCCTTGTCCCCCTGGTCACAGTGATTGGCCCAACTTGGGCCAATCAGAATCTTTTAGGGTTTTTTATATGGGTGCTGAAGGGAGGTGCCTGGGGCTCTATACAGCCTTGCTCTCCCCCTCCCACTGTCCACAGAGAAGTAGTCCCCCTCCCAGAGAGGGAGAGAATGAGGCCACCACAAGGGCTGAAGTGAGGAGGAGACACCTAATGTCAGCGTATGTGTCCCTGGACCTCTGAGGCCAGCCTCACACAGCCACTGACCCAGTACTGTTCCTTTTGGTTTTTATTTTTAAAATGTTAGTTCATCTTGAGCTTCTTTCACTTGTAGCTAAAGGAGTCTTGATTATCTTACGGCTCCTTGAGGTGGTCAAGGGGCTCTTATTGCTAAAGCGACTGAGTACTAATGTGGCTCAGAGACTCATCGAGCAGGAGAAGGACGAGCCTCCGGTCATCTGGTGCCAGTGAGTCTACACACACACCCTACGCTGAGGCAGTGTGGGCAGGGCGCCAGGTCGGGGCATCCCTCTGTTATGCCCCAAAGATGCACAGGGCGCTCTGGGGACCATGTCCTGCACGAACATTTCACCTCAACACAGAGGTGGTGGGGAGACCTCCATGGCCCCTCTGAGGAAGGCCCTTGTCATAGACTAACCTGACCAGAGAAGCTCAATCCGCTCCTGTGGGCGGAGCGCAATGGGGCGGCACACCTGGCCGCTGGGTGTGACTGCCCACTTCTGACCTCCAGGTAGAAGCCCCAGGGTCTAAGGGCTGGCTGGGTCTGGAAGAGGTTGTTGGTCAGCTCTGTCCTCTCCCTCCAGACCTGTCTTCCTCCCCAGCTGGGCTGACAACCCCTCCCAGGACCAGCCCGTCCTGGGAAGAAGTAAGACCAGAGCTGTGTGTTCTGAGCCCTGCTCTGATTCAGAGTGTGTGTGAGGGTGAGACCTGAGGTTGGGCATGAGTTGACCTCCCTCAGGGCATGCTGGGCCTCTCCCTCAGGAGACCCCTCATGTCCTCACAGACAGAGCAGGGCAGCCTCCCACCCCCCACCCTCATACCCCTGGTTACCAGGCTTGGTCCGGGTCCCCCTGCCCTGACTCCAGCCCTGCCACCACCAGCCCAGCTTTCCACTGAGGAGCCACCTCAGCTGGGGTCACTCTCATGGCCTCCCAAGCTCCCGGGAGTACCGACAACCTCCCTCCACAAGCAAACAGCTGCTGTCCTCACTGCGCTCTCCCCGGGCATACTCTACTCATTCTCACCTCCAAATCTTTGCTCACTCTGGACCCTTGCTTAGAAGGCCTTTACTCTCGGCTCACCCAAACCTAGTCCCCCTTTAAGGCTTCACAAAAGAGCACCACCCCCTCCTGCTGGCATCCGGGGCTGTCCTGGGCATTCTACAGAGAACCTCGGTGCCTCCACCTCTTCACCTCCACATGTTTCCCACCGTGGTCCTCTTCTCTAGGAAGCTGTCGCTGCGCTGTCTCCACATCTCAAACTTTCGGGCACCTACTTGCTCATCATTCTCCTCAGATTACCTTCAGAGTTCTTTCAGAAATGAATTGCGTAACGGACAATTTCCACTAGGTCAGTTTTCTCCAGAATTTTATTTTGGATTTCGCCAACTGATAAAACTTCCAGAAAATTTTGGGGACTGACAGATTTTTAGTATATATATTTAATATATGGGCCAAATAACAATATAGAAAATTGAACAAAACTACTATTGTATTATTGCCATTGTTTCATAAAAACACATTTGAATACCAAAAAAGTAGGGAGAACGTAATTTCAGAATAAAGAATCATTCTTTAAATTAAACATCTTTATCTTTAACAAAAAAACCACATTGCCCTTATTTTTTTCATTTTGCTGTAGACCAGAGAGAACACTGTCATGGAAACCACCAGAAAGATGCAGGAAAGAAGAAGAGAGACACTGGAGAATGTCGGAGGAGGGAAGGCGAAGGGACAGGAATTGGGGTGGGGGATGGAGGTCCACCAGTGAGGCGCTCCCCTGCCCTGAACTGACCCCCATTCTCCTCATGAAAAACTGGGGTGGCCAGGTTTGGGCACTGGTCAAAGGGCAGAGCTGTGGCCACGCTCACAGGTCAGGTGGCTCAGTTTCCACCCTCACCCCACCAGCCCTGGAGACTCTGGTGATCCAGCTCCCACCTCTTCACACTGCAGAGACATCCTGGACTTGCACTTGTGAGCACCAGCTCGCAATCCAGCACCAGCTGGACTGGGGAGACAGGCCACTGGTACAGGAGAAAGTGCATAGGACTTAGAGTCAGGAGCCTGTGCCTAGGCCTAGCTCTGTTGTCACTTGGGGAAATCCCTTCCTTCTCAGGGCCACAGTTTCCTCACCTTAAGATGAAGGTTCTGAACAAGTCTTGAGTCATTTCTGAGGAAAACTGCAGCCCTCTGTCTTAAGGAAAAAAAAAAAAAAAGCCACTCATGCAATACTTTGCGTGGAATTTCAGGGGCACCACCACTCCATCAGGGCCTTCAGCAAACCTCCCAGGGGGTCCCTGGACCTCAGATCAAGAACCCCAACCTGCCAATCCTGCCACACAGCTGCTGGCCTCCAGCCCCCAAATCCACCTCTTTCATGAGCAGTCTACAATATCTACCAATTCTCTAACACTCACAAGGGCAGGGCCAAATACCTCAGGGATGGAGGTAACTCTGTACGAAGAATTGTTAGCCCCTGGGCCTCCTCTCCAGTTCACAGTGGAGCTGGGAGACACAATGAGCTTCATGGATGGGCAACCAGCTGACCAAAGTAGCAGGACACAGATCTGAAGAGAGTTTCAGACCGTGACTACTGGACAGAGGGGACACAACGATGGCAGGAATCCCTTTACTGGGGACAAAGTCTTCTGGCCACCCAAGGCAGTGGAGGGCAGTGGTGAGAACTTAGGATCAGTAGCTAGAATGCCCTGGGTTTATATACGGCTCTGTGACTCAATCATGTTATTTGGGCAAGTTATTTTACCTTGAATTTTGGGTTCCTCATCTATAAAATAGGGATAAGAGTTATGCAGAAGAAACAACAGTATACACTAAATATTCCAGGACTGCCTTGAATTTCCGAGCCTCTCTTGCCGAAGGTGAGGTCATCTGACTAGTTCTGGCCAATGGTCTGTGAGTGGAAGAGATGTGTCACACCTGGCTGAGGCATTTAAGTGTCCATGTGCTTCCTCCATCTCTCTCTTCCATCTTCCACAATGACCTCGGAGGCCAGTCTTCCAGATGGCATGAAAGATGCCATACAAGATGGAAGGAAAGTTCTCCTGCCCCATATCAGACTTTTACACGAGTGATAAATAAAGCATTAGTGTGCCAAGCCACTGAAATTTCAGTTCTCTGTTGTGACAGCTAGTGTTAATTACCCTGATACAGGGAGGGCTAACTGAGATAATAGATACAAAACCCTCTAAGTACAGTAGGGGCTGTTATTATTCTTAGAGAAAAGACCTAAGTCCCCTGTATTCGTCAGCTTGGCTGCCATAACAAAATACTGTAGACTGGATGGCTTAAATAACAGAAATATATTTCTCACAGTTCTGGAAGCTAGAAGTCCAAGATCAGGGTGTCAGCGAGGTTGAGTTCTGATGAGGGTTCTCTTTCTGGCTTGCAGATGGCTGCCTTCCCACTGTGTCCTCACATGGCATAGAGAAAGAGACAGCACGCTCTCTGCTGTCTCCTCTTATGAGGGCACTAATCCCATATGAGGGGACCCCTGTGACCTCATCTAAACCCAGTTACCTCCCAAAGGCCCCATCTCCAAATATTATCACACTGGGGGTAGGGCTTCAACATATGGATGGGGGGTCACAATTCAGTCTGTAGCACCCCCATCAAGACAGATCTTTTCTTAAAAGCAAATTTTTAAGACTCCTCAGATCTTTTCTTAAAAGCAAATTTTAAAAAGCAGAAGCAGGCAAGGGTGGGGCGAGGTGGGAGTTTCACCCAGAGGGAAATGGTGAGCAAGGCCTGCTCCCCAAGTTCCACTGATGGCTGCATGCAGCTCTCTCTTCACTCTCCTCTTCCTTCTGAGTCTTCCTCTCTCCCCGACTCTGTTTTGCCCCACAACTTGACTTCCATACAATCCACAGACAAATTCTTAGAGAATTAATTGACTCTCGAGGACTGGAAGAGGTCTAGGTTTTAGAGGCCACCCTGTCTTGATCCCCTGATTCTTACAGATGACCAGACTGGGTCTGGAGAGGGTAGGAGAGGCACCAGAGCCCCAGGCCGGCTTATACAAAAGATAAGGGGGAGTGGGGAGGCAATTTGGTGCAGCAAGGGCAGAGAGAGAGTTAGAATATCAAGAAGGAAGCTATTTTCATTTCAGCATATTAAGTTTTGCATAATTTTTTAAAATAAAGTTTTATTTTACAGTTTTCTGTTTTTATTTGGAAGTATTACATATGGAGGCCCCTAGGGCCCCTAAAATCTATCTGTCCAAGGCTTGAATCAGGGTCTCACGGCAGTGCCTTACTCCATCCCTTCCTGGGCCTGGGAGCCTCCTCCAGCGCCAGAAAGGGTTTCTGCCCAGTTTCTGCCCGGTTTCTGCCTCTGCTCTTGGGCAGCCTGTGACCATTAACCTCCTCGCTGTCCACCCCCAGCAGAGGGCGGGCCCCCGGGGCGCCGGGTCACGTGGCAGGGAAGGGGGTTTAGACCCGCGGCCCCTAGGGAGCCCCACCGGACCTCTGCCATTCAAGCCCATGGCCACAGCCTTTGCGCTGCTCGCAGGGGTCCTGCTGCTCTGCTGGGGCGCGTTCCCGAAGTTTAATAAGAGGTTCATGAAGGTGAGCCAGGAGAGCCTTTTGAACCTTCCACTATAGCAGAGAGTGGTGGCCGAGGCATCATGGGCTAGCCAGAAAGCGCCGCTTGGGTTTCCAGGAAGAAGTGGGGGGTGAGGGTGGGAACCACCGCAAAGTGGGGATTTGTTCCCAGGCTGAACGCTTGATGTGCTCCCAAATGGACTTCAAGGCCCTGCTTCGCCTCCCCGTGGCCCTGGAGGTGACCTATGACCAGCCATCCCCTCCCTCACCCCCCACTCCGGGCTGTCTCTGTCCTGGCCCCCCGGCCACGCCTCACCTTCCTGCTCCAGTGTCTCCCCCCACTTCTCCTCTTCCAGGCACCATGACTCTCTTCCCTTCCCCATCTTTCTCTCCCCCTCTTTCTGCCCACCTCCCCACTAAAGTGTGATCTGGGGGTATTTGCTCCCCCAGCACAGGTCACCATTTGAGACCCACAGAAGTGAGGGGGCCCCAGAAAAGGAGAGGCAGAGGGGAAAGTACTAAACCCCGACTCTTCCTCAGCCTGCTCCTCTGAGTGCTGCTGCAGGGTGGGGAGGGTGTGCAGTGGGGGTGGGACCTGGGGGTGACCATCTCATGGCTTCTCTTCCTAGACCCCTGAGACCTTGGCAATGCCGGGAACCCGCCCCTTCCTCTCACAGCCAGAGAGCTGGTGACTCAAGGGTTGTTCCCACAGATGAACGGGGCTGGGTGCTCCCACCACTCTGAGTGCTTCAGCGACTGCTGCCTCATGGACTTGGACCACGGGGGCACCTTCTGTGCCCCCAAGGCCAGAAGAGCCATGACATGCTTGCCCCAGGTGAGGCTCTGGCTGGGCGGCAGACCCTTCTGGCAGGTAGAGTGGGGAAGGTTAAAAAAACCCACATGGCAGCACCTGGTTCTTCACTCTCTGCCTGGAGTCCCCTTCCCCCTTCTCCACCTGCCAAACTCCTACTCGTCCTGCAATACAACTCCAGCAATCTCCTCTGAGAAGCCTTCTCTCCTTGGAGCTCCCACCCCCTTGGCTATACCCTCAGCAGAGCATGTACCTCCCCGGTTTGCCATGCTTTCTCTCTGCCTCTGCCAGAGCTCTGGTTGGAGCTCGTCAAGGGCAGGATTCCAGCATTGTCATCTTTGAACCCTCTACCCCCAACTTAGTGCCTCCACACAGTAGGTGCCCTACAAATGTTTGTTAAATTAGTGAATATCTCTACCCCAACATCACTGAGGCAAGGTGGGTGGGAAAAGATCTTCCTGCCACAGCGACCTAATTTCCTGGGAGGGGCATGGCACTGCAGTGGGAGGACCACAGCTTTAGTTGGACCTGAGTTTAAATCCTGGCTTTTCCACCCCCTCTCTTTGTGACCTCGGACGGTTCACTTCTGCTTTCTGAGCCTTAGTTTCCCCACCTGTAAAATGAGCTAAAGTACCTACCCCACCAGGTTGTTGGGGGGAGTACACGGTCCTGGCAGGGATAGTGCGCAGTCGAGCGTGGTCATTATTAGTGGGTGGAAACACAGGGAGCAGAATGCACAGTCCGTCTTGTTCCTGCCTGTCTTCTCTCATCTGGCCCTGGGCCCAGACCTTTCTAGGGAGGACAGGGTAGGCCTCCATGTCCCTGTCTGGGGAGCTGCCAATGCCCTAAGGAACCAGCCAGGCCCTGACCGGGGCCTGACTCCACAGCTGCAGTGGCCAGAGAGTCTTTTCTTTTTTTTTTTTTTTTGTGAGGATGATCAGCCCTGAGCTAACATCCATGCCAATCCTCCTCTTTTTGCTGAGGAAGACTGGCCCTGGGCTAACATATGTGCCCATCTTCCTCCACCTTATGTGGGACGCGGCCTCAGCATGGCCTGACAAGTGGTGCATCGGTGCGCGCCCGGGATCCGAACCCAGGCCGCCAGCAGTGGAGCGCACGCACTTAACCACTACACCACGGGGCCGGCCCCAGAGGGTCTTTTCTTTACAGGCAATGATCTGCTTTGTTTCATTTAATCCTCACAAGAACCCTTTGAGGTGGGTTGCTAGTATTGTCCCCATATGACAGAGGAGGAAAAGAGACAAAGAAGCTCATTAACTTGCCAAGGTCACGAGGTTATAAGCTGTAGAGCTGACAGACCCCAGGTCTGCTATCACTCGTGCTCTTGCGCCTGCTCCCCAACAAGTGTAAGCCCCCTTCTTCCCTGCACCTGGTGACGCCCAACTCTCACACCCATTCCCCGCAGACCAAGGGAGCCACCAACATCATATGCCCCTGCCACTGGGGCTTGACTTGCATCTCCAAGGACCTGTTCTGTCCCCGCCGGTGCCAGTTGATTTAGAGGAGGATGCAGGCTGGTCACTGCCAGCCCTCCCTCCCTCCCTCCCTTGGGGCCAGAGGCCTTGGGCATCCCCATCTTGCTCAAAATCCAGCTCCTGAGACATTAAAATCACTTCCTGGCTCTGGCCTCTGTCTGTGCTTCCTGGAAGAGATTGTTCCAGTCTGGGGGCAGGTGAAAGGGGAGACTAGAGGCAGGAAAGAGCTTCCCATGAGGTTTGACCATGTCTGGAGGACTGGTGACCTCAGGGTAGAACTGCAGGAAGGGAACCGGGCCAGGGGAGTGTGGGTGAGAGTGGGCTGGGTCCAGCAAGGGCCAAGTCTTGGGATGGAAGGCTGTGTTGGGATGGAGGGACAGGGTTGAGGAATGTGCCTAGAGAGTGTATGTTGGGGTACCCATGGATGGGTGTGTGGTAGGAGGGACCAAGAGGAGGCGTCTGAATGATTTGCAAGGGGAGCAAAAGGGTGGAGGTCATTGAGAGAGTGTTTATGAGAATATGTGTGAAGTATAAATGCAAAAATATTCATGTCTGCGGTGGGAAAGGGACCTGCTGAATTGATGTCTCCACTCTCTCAGATATTATCAGGTCTGTTTTACGCATAAAGAAACTGAGGCTCAGAGGTCATACCATGGGAGTATCAGTGAGCACTCTTTGCTGCAAATATCCAAAAAAACAACCCAAAGTGGTCTAGATGATGAGGGAATTCATTGGTGGTCAGAATTGGAAGTCCAGAGGCAGGCAGGCCTCAGGTCTGGCTGAATCCAGCAGCTCCACAGCTGAATTCCTTCCCAGCAGCTGCAAAAGTTCCAGCTGTCACCTAATAATAACAGCTAAGATTTCTTGAGCGCTTATTATGTTCTAGACACTGTGCAAAGTGCTTTCTTATCTGTATTAACTCATCTTATTATCACAACTAGGTTATAGTAGGTACTATAATTATCCCTATTTTACAAATAGGGTGTTGAGGCTCAAAGTACCCTTCTCAAGGATTCAGAATAAGGGGTGGGGCTGGGTTTGAACCCAGGCTGTCTTGCTCCAGAGGGCAGACTTTTTTTTTTTTTTTTAAAGATTTTATTTATTTATTTTTCCCCCCAAAGCCCCAGCAGATAGTTGTATGTCATAGCTGCACAACCTTCTAGTTGCTATATGTGGGATGCGGCCTCAGCATGGCCGGAGAAGCGGTGCGTCGGTGCGCGCCCGGGATCCGAACCCGGGCCGCCAGCAGCGGAGCGCGTGCACTTAACAGCTAAGCCACGGGGCCGGCCCCAGAGGGCAGACTTTTAACTACTAATCCACCTCACACATGCATACCATGCCTTCCAGAGAAAGGAAACATTGCTGTCCCAGAATTCTCAGCAAACATGCTAAGATTGATTCTGATTGGATTGGCTTAGTCTGCATGCTCACCCCTGAACCAATAGCCGTGGTGCAATTTGTTGATTGACTTAGCTTGGGTTATGCGCAGGGGTGCAGGGGTGGAGTCAGCCTCCCTGGGAATATTCTTATGGGGGTGGGTGCCGGTTTTCCCTGGTGTCTCCACAGCAGAGAGGGCACCAACATGGTCAGGACTCAACTCCACCCCCTTTCCTGGCCAGATCCTGATGAAGATGCCTGGCCTCAGCTCTGACGTCTGGACTCTCTCTCCTGGGTCAGACTGGAACCCCAAGTTCAGTCTGCCCTGGGGGCCACCCTGCCCTGGACCCACTCACCATGCTTCATTAGACATAATCACAGTGTAGCTCAGGGATCCTGTGCCTCACACAGAAATCAGGACTTGCTTTTTCTCCTATATTATTATATCTTGATCATTTCCCCCATGTCACCAAAGTATTTTTAAAAACATTAATGGCTGCCTAATTTTTATTATACATGTGGACCATATTTTGCTTACCTATTTACCTATGGGTAGACATTAAGATCATTTTCAAATCCAAACCATCCATTTAGGATACACGTTTATAGCTGCAGGAACAAAAATCTACTCTAATGAGGCAGGAAACCTCCTCAAGCAAGGTGGATGATTTCTCTCTCATCTGGTAGTTGGAGGAGGCACTGCCGGGTGAGGTCGTTCATGCCCCCACCTCCTTCCACCTTCCTGCTCAAGCACCTGCTGCTCTGACTCCCTTTTTTTTTTTTTTAATTTTTTACCACGCAGCACACATAGAAACATGATATTGGTATAGCACCTTGGGCGGAGAGTAGAGGGCTTTGGGGCTCTCAAGAGGCTCTCCTGAGGGCAGAGGGGATCAACATCTCCAGACACACTGGTCCGGAAGCTCTGCCCTGGTATGTTTCTATCCACCACATAGTCGAAGATGGCTCATCACCATATCTGCTGGGTCCACATTCCAGTTGAAGAAAGAGAGTAGAGGGACAGCAAATGCTCACCCTTCCTAAAAGGGCATGATCACGAGGCAGCATGAATTATTTTCACTTACAGCCCATTGGGTGAAACTTAGTCATGTGGCTGCAGCTAGCTGCAAGGGAGACTGGGAGATGTAGTTTTCATCTGGGCATCCAGCTAAAGCTTGGGGGTTCTATTATGGAAGGACAGAAGGAGAAGGTATAGTGGGAACAACTTGCTGCCACAAAACCCTTTATTATTATTTTAATAAGCAAGGGGAGCTTGGATCCCAGGACCTAGAGCTAACGGTGTACTGTTAGGCAGCTCTTTCTTGAGCTACAGCTCTACTGGGCTGTGTGCTCGCTGGCTGAACCATAGCCTCGGGAAGTGGTGGTGGAAGGGGAGCACGTGACCCTCAACTTCCCAGCAAGCCTTGTGGTCAAGCCCAGTTGAGTTGCTTTTGGAAACGTGGCAGAATTGTCGACAGTCCTCAGGAGAGCAGCTATCTGTATCCATATCCGCCACCAAGTCATGGCTTTCTTTTCTTCAGGAGGTGAACATGGCAAAATTTTCAGGAAGATTGAAGATAAAATAACAAAGGAAAATTATGAGCTCTCTCTCACAGAGTGATGTGTCTCCCCACCCCAAACACTGAAATCATGCTACCCCAGGCTTAATAATAAGTTTTGTGGCAGATGTGACTCCCCCCTCCAAGTTCCCCCGCAAGTAAAGCACCCTGAAAACAGACTTGAGACGTTGGAGGAGGCCAGAGTGGGGAGGAGACAGAAGCACACTGACTCTTCCTGGCTGGTGGATTTGGGAGGAAAGTGTGCCAATCATTTGTCTGCTCTCCTCCTGCTCTGCTCTTTATCCTGGGAGCTATATTTCCCAGGCTCCTCTGTCCTCTGGCTTCTAGGACTGGCTGAAGGTCAGAGGGCAGAAGCAGCGATTGCCCACCCTCCCCCACCCCTGCTTCAGGTGATGTCACCAGCAGTCCTCTTGTTTCCTTTAGGACAGCCCCTCCCCTGCAGTCCCCAGGACTCCACACGGCCTCATCACATTGTTTCTCCAGCCGCACGGGCACTGATGTCTTCCTGCTATCACTAATCTCCCGGCAGCCTCGACATCCTGTTTGGTTCCTCAGCTTCTCCATCACCTGTGTGACCGTTTCCTTATATTAAGTCCTCTCTGTTTCAAATACCTAGAATAGTTTCTGTCTTCCTGACTGGTCATTGACCGGTAGAGAAAGAAACTTTCCAAGTGGAGGCAAATCTGATTCTAGAACACTAAACCCTCCTTAAATGGGTAGAATTCACTCAAAAACAATTGCTTTGGAAAGAGAGCTGAGGTTGGTAGTGACTTATGAAAGGTCTTACAAATACTTTTACTTTGACAAAATTTAAAACCAATAAAGACTGAATACTCTAAATAATAAAAGTTGTGCCAATGACATTTCGCATTGTTTTAATATAGGTGTAATGGGTGGTCCCATATAAATTCCCATTTGCCATATCTAAGGAACATTTACTGATTTTCCCTGCCAAAAATCCATTACTCCTTTTTTTTTTGGTAACCCTGAATTTCCTTTAAGGAAACCACCCCCTTCCGTTCTCAGTCCATGAGGTTGAGGGGGCTCCATCCACATCAGAACACTGAATCCTATAGACACAGAGATTGGTTCAGTGGGTGGCCATGAGTCTCGTTCTGATGCCCTGGCTCTAGGGACCGGTTTCTAGATGGACGCATGACCCAGTTTGTCCAATCAGAGTGAAGCCTAGGATTTGTACAAGAGTTAACAAGATGAAATACTTTTCCACTGGACTTGAACATAGGAGAATGTTGATCTGTGGTTATTGGCAGCCATCTTATCACTATGTGGACTCAGAGTGAAGCCAACACAGAGGAGAGTGGAGCCAGCTTCTAGTGTCTTCCTTTTAGCCCCGGAAACAAGCTGTGCTTTAAGCCGGATAGCTCTACCCTTGGACTTTTAAGTTACCTAACTCAGTAAATTCACTTTTTTCCTTAACCACATAAGGTTGGGTTTCTGTCACTCACAACCAGTAAGTTCTGACATTCTCTTTCTCTTGAAGATGAGAAGCTTTTCAGACGCTCCCTTTCTTGCTGTAGTAATAAATACCTGTTCTCGTTTGTTTGTTGCATTATGGGAGTTAATTTGCAGATTCAGAGGCATTGTTTTTCTGCATTTGTACGTTCAAATGTTCCTCGCTTGGAGGTTTTAAAGGAATGATCTTGATGCTGAGAAGGCAAAAGCTTAAGGCCACCTTAATTTACCCAAACCTTTCTTCTCCCATCCTGATCAGCGCTATCTCTGCCCAAACATGGACTCCCAGCCCCTCTCTCGGAAGCCTTATTTCTAAGGTGAGGTCTCTACCCCTTTAGCTTTCCTTCCTTCTTTGTACTACAAGGCAGAGACAACGCTATGAACTCACCAAGTCCCATTTCCTTTTCTTCTTCCTCTGCACCAGAAGGACTGCCTTCTTGCAGGTAGCATGGGCTGTGTGACTATTTTTTTCTGTCAGTGAAGTGACAGATGTAACTTTTGGGCCAAAGCAGAGAAGTGCAAGTGTGACGTAGTAAAAAGGAAGACTCCCATGATGGCTTTCAAGCCCCCACTCCCCTTTGCCCCACCTCTAGGCAAGCCGATAAGAAAAGCACGTGCTCCCTCCCTTGGCGCTGGTGGGAAGTGCAAACCACACAAATCCCAGCCTGCACGAGGGAACCCTCAGCCTGGCCCATCTCCTAGCCACAGTCAAAGTCAAAGCCACGCGCCCCTTCCTCCTGGTCCTTCACACCTCCTTGCACCTGTCCTGCTGTCCCTGGAAAGTTCCATTATTCGAGTAATAAACCTTTTCATATCATCTTGGTATATGTGGCATCACCAGTCCTAACATCCAGACCAATTTTGGGTGAAGGTTGATTTCACCCTCCGTGAGGCATCAAGAACACCCGTGAGTTCTCCAGTTCTCTTTCCCTGCCATGGCCAAGTGGTGACATGAGGAACTACGGGATGGGAGGTGCCCGGAAAACTAAGTCATTGTGGAGGACCGCCGCCCTGGAGAGTCTCCTGGCCCACAGCGGACTTTGCCAGAGCAAGAAATCCACTTTTGTTGTGTTAAGCCTCTACGAATCCTGGGTAGTTTGTTTCCACAGCACTACCTCTCCTGCCTGACTAACATTTATAAAAACGTCTCTTGCTTCTCCGCCCTCTGCATTACTACTCGTTCCCACTCCCAAGACTCTGTCACTTTGTTCTGATTATCTGCCACCACACCCCACTCACGGTTTGTGTGTCCTGGGCTTGTCATTCTTGTGCTTGCCCAAAAGCCTGCAGAAATCCATCCAGGCCCACTGGATCTTCTCAACAGAGGGAGTTACTGAAATTCTAATCGAAGGCCTCTGGGGAAACGGAGTGGAAAGACGAAAACTAGAGTCTAATCTTCTGTTACTTGATAGCTCTGTGACTTTGGGGAAGTTTGACAACTTCTCTGGGCCTTAGTCACCTCATTTGAGAAAGAAAATATTCCTAATGCTGTTTATTAACAATAATATACAATTGGATTGGATGAGAAAATCTTGAAATCCCTTTAAGTCTGTCTCCTTCTAATTCTAAACATGATGATGACAGCTTCCATTTATTGGCCTACTCTGTGAAGCACAACGCCTGCTTATTTAATATAAGCATTGCATCGTCCCTGAGATGTACTGTTATTACTGTTACTGTTATTATCCCCCATTTTGCAGATGGGGAAACCGAGGCTCAAAGTTAAGAAGTCTGCCCAAGATCACACAGCCAGTAGGCAGCAGAGCTGGGGTTTGATTCTAGATCTTGCTGCTTCCAGAGCCCAAGCGCACAGACCAGACTATTCTGCTGAGATGAGCACAGCAAGTGCTCCAGGATGCAGCGGTGGTTCTTGGAAAACTTCCACTTTACCCCATTGCTTGTTCCTCTGTCCCTGTGGTCTGGGAGCCTGCACACCAGCCTCTCTGGTCACCCCAAGGACTGGGCATTCATGCCTCATTACCTCCCCTCCCGGCCTCAGTCACACGGCAGTCACACGGCAGAGGCGGGGTATTTAGCTGGGCCTTAGGAGAAATGCCACCACCTCCGGGCCACGATGCGGCAGCTGCTGCTCCTGGTCCTCCTCTTCCTCCTCTCTTTTCTCTTCCTCCTCACCGGGGGCTCATTTTACCAGGGAGGAACCAAAGAGTTGGTAAGGAACCTAGAGGGTATAGTCACCTCTTCTGCCATCATCGCAGGACCTGTACTGGTTAGGGAGGGTGGGGCGGTGGGTACAGAGGCCTATGCCGGTGAAAGCCAGAAGTGGGGGGCAGCGGGAAGTGTCGGGCAGAGGGCGTCTGGGGGGAAAAAAAAACTCATCCTAGTCTTGGGAGCTGTGCTGGGGCAGTGCCAGGTGCTGCCACCATGAGGTGAACATGACACAGCCCTCTCCCACCATGCTCTAGTAAGGGAGACAAGACATTCATTCATTCAACAAATTTTATTGAGTACCTACTATATGTAAATTATTTTTCCAGGTGCTAGGGATAGGGCTGTGAGCAAGATACAAAAATCCTTGCCCTTGTAGAGCTGACATTCTACTGTAGGAGGCAAATAAGTGAAATATTAATATATCCCGGGTGATGAACACCTGGGGACAAAGAAAATGAGGAAGGGGCTTCAGGAGAGGTGGTGCAAGGAGAGGTAGCAATTATAAACAGAGTGCTTAGGGAAGACCTTACTAACAAAGTGAAACGTAAGCAAAGATCTAAGGGAGTGAAGTCTCTCCCAAAGGGAGCCAGGCAGGCAGATCTCTGGGGAAAGAGCATTCCAGGTGGAGGCAACAGCCAGGGCAAAGGTCTGGAGGTGGGACCTTGCCTGCTGTATTCAAGGGAAAGCAAAGAGGAGCGAGGGAGAGTGGAACTAACAGGAGATGAGGTCAGAGAGCTAGAAGGACAGAATGTTACTATATCCTCATTTATTCAGTTCTGCATCCGGCATCTTCTGCTTGTGAAGACTAGTCCCAGGGGCTAAGAAATACAGCAGCGAACAAGATGGTGAAAAATCTCTGCCCTCTTGGAGCTGAGGTTCTAGCAGGGGGAGACAGAAAATTTTTTAAAAAAATGCAAATCAAAAAGATAATTTCAGAGTCCTAAGTGTTGTGAATACAGCAAAACCAGGCGATGGGGATAGTTCTAGCTGGGTGTCCGAGAGGGCCTCAGCCTGGGGCAGGAGAGGGATGGGGATGGTTCTAGCTGGGTGTCCGAGAGGGCCTCAGCCTGGGGCAGGAGAGGGAGGCGGCCAGGCAGAGCTCACAGGGCAGGGTGTTCTGGCAGAGGGATCAGCAAGCACAAACGCCCGGGGCCAGGCGACTCTGCTGCATTCAGAGCCCCTGTGGAGGGGGGGATGGGGGGGTGCAGCAAGAGATCTAGTGATAGGCAGGCCACTCTGGAGTAAGCCCTGCAGGTCCCACAAAGAGTTACTGTATTTAAATGTCCTGGGAAGTCCTTGGAGGCTTTTTTAAAAAAACTATTTTATTGAGGTCACGTTGGTTTATAACATTGCATAAACTTCAAGTGTACATAATTCTATTTCAGCTTCTGTATAGGCTGCCTCGTGTTCACTACCAATAGTCTAGTTTCCATCTGTCACCATACATATATGTCCCTTTACCCCTTTCACCCTCCCCCCGCCCCCTTCCTCTCTGGTAACCACTAACCTGTTCTCCTTATCTATGTGTTTATCTTCCACTTAGAAGTGAAATCATACAGTGTTTGTCTTTCTCCATCCGACTTATTTCGCTGAACATAATACCCTCAGGGTCCATCCATGTTGTCGCAAATGGCACAATTTCGTCATTTTTTACGGCTGAGTAGTATTCCGTTGTGTGTATATATACCACATCTTGTTTTTCCATTCATCTGTTGATGAGTACTTGGGTTGCTTCCCCGTCTTGGCTATTGTGAATAATGCTGCAGTGAACATAGGGGTGCATAAGTCTCTTTGAAATGTTGATTTCATGTTCTTTGGATAAATACCCAGTAGTGGGATAGTGGCATCATACGGTATTTCTATTTTTAATTTTTTGAGAAATCTCCATACTGTTTTCCATAGTGGCTGCACCAGTTTGCATTCCCACCAGCAGTGTATGAGGGTTCCCTTTTCTCCACATCCTCTTCAACACTTACTGTTTCTTGTCTTTTCCATAATAGCCATTCTGACAGGCGTGAGGTGATATCTCATTGCAGTTTTGATTTACATTTCCCTAATAGTTAGTGATGTTGAACATCTTTTCCTGTGCCTGTTGGCCATCTGTATATCTTCTTTGGAAAAATATCTGTTCATATCCTCTGCCCATTTTTTGATTAGATTGGTCACGTTTTTGTGGTTGAGTTGTATGAGTTCTTTATATATTTTGGAAATCAACCCCTTGTTGGATATATGATTTGCAAATATTTTCTCCCAGTTGGTGGGTTATTTCCTTTTAGATAACCCACCAACTAGGAGGCTTTGAAGCAGGGGAATGACATGATGGGATTTACCTTTTAAAAAAGATTCCTCTACCAGTTCTGGAAAGAATTGATGGGAGGAGGGG